AGAGCGGAGCCCCGCCCTCCCAGGGAGGCGACCTGTGGGCGAGGGGCGGACCTGGACATCCGATGGTGTGCTATTTCTCCGCCCGACGGGTCAGGGTTGTTAGGTTTTGCGGAAATGCTCCATGGTACAGTGGAAGCCCATGCCAAGAATCACTTTGCTTGCCTCCAGGGTGCCCTGGGTTTCTTGGCTTTCGATGGTTTTGCTATGGAAAGCGTGACGTTCCCACACCAAATAATTATCCTGGCGAAGGACCCAACCATCTGCCGTTGTGAACACCGCAAGTATGAATCTCATCTTCGCCCACGCTCCTTGTGGTGCCACGGACCGTGTGAGGGGCGTGCCGACATGCGTGGCGGGGCACACAACGCGAACGAAGACGACAGGTCTGTGCGCGAGAGAATGAGAGCGGGTGAGTGTGAGCGCGAGTGAGTCTGATTGTGAATGAGTCTGCGCGCGCGTGAGTCTACGTGCACAAATGTCGACGCCCATGTCGGCACTCCCGTCACGAGGATCGCGCCCGCTTCCTCTCCGTTTTTTGTTCTCCCTCTTTGCCCGTGTGCGCCCATGTCCAAGGCTGCGGGCGCGGCGCCGCACGGAGTCCCCGCGACGCGCTGTGGTCGTCCCGAAGGGGTCCCGGCGACGCGCGCGGGTCGTCCGCTGCGCGGAACAGAGAGCTAGCAGGCCGGCTGATAGCTGGCAAGTCTCTGGCCGTTGGGCAGCGCGACGACGGGGGCGAACGAGGCGCTGGGCAGGCGGCGGGGCCATGCGGACTGCGCCACTGGGACCTTAGTTGGAGCTCCCTATGGGGCCACGAAGCGTGTGAGGGGTGTGCCGAAATTGGGCGGAGGCCGCCATGCGAGCCACGCCATTGGGACCTTAGTTGGAGCTCTCTATGGGGCCACGAAATGTGTGAGGGGTGTGCCACAATGGGGCGGCGCCGCCATGCGAGCTGCGCCATTGGGACCTTAGGAGGAGCTCCCTATGGGGCCACGAAGCGTGTGAAGGGTGTGCCGAAATTGAGCGGCGCTGCCATGCATGCGAACTGCGCCATTGTGACCTTAGTTGGAGTTCCCTATAAGGCCACGAAGCGTGTGAGGGGTGCCCGAATTGAGCGGCGCGGCCATGCGAGCTGCGCCACTGGGACCTTAGGAAGAGTTTCTTATAGGGCCACGAAACGTGTGAGAGGTGTGCCAAGATGTAACGGCGCCGCCATGCGAGCTGCGCCATTTGGACCTTAGTTGGAGCTCCTTATGGGGCCACGAAGCGTGTGAGGGGTGTGCCGACATTGGGTGGCGCCGCCATGCTAGCCGCGCTATCAGGGCCTCAGCTGGAGCTCCTTATGAGGCCACGAAGCGTGTGAGGGGGGTGTGCCAAAATGGGGCAGCGCCGCCATGCGAGCTGCGCCACTGGGACCTTAGGAAAGTTCCTTATGGGGCCACGAAACGTGTGAGGGTGTGTGTGCCAAAATGGGGCGCCGCCGCCATGCGAGCTGCGCCACTGGGACCTTAGTTGGAGCTCCCATATGGTGCCACGAAACGTGTCAGGGTCGTGCCAAATGGGGCGGCGCCGCCATGTGAAGTGGGCCACTGGGACCTTAGGTGGAGCTCCTCATGGGTCCACGAAACGTGTGAGGGGTGTGCTGACATGGGTGGTGGGGACGATGATGATGATGGTGATGATGATGATGGCGATGATGAAGAGGATGTGGATAATGATGAGGATGATGTATGATGTATGATGGGCGATGTGGATGATAGTGACGATGATGCGGGTGAAGGGGAGAGGGAGTGGGGCAGCTGGAGGAGGAAGGAACGCGGGGCGCTGTCTCTTCGAAACGAGGACCCAACACCACAGGATGGTTAGGAACCAGTGGGCGCCATGAGGTCTCAGGGTTGGGTTTCTTGTGGAAAGCTTTTTGTTGTCGAGCTCCTGCTGTCTCCCGCCACGCGTTTTCGACGAATAACGATTGCATGCCGCGGCCGCCATGCCCAACGTGTGCCAGTGCCGACTGCGCGTAGGACTGGCCCTTCGCCGGAGTGACCTTTGCGTGCGGGCCCACTAGGGTCCCCCGATCGCCGAACGCGAGGCGGCAGTGGCGTCTTCCGCGCTTGTGCTTGGCCCCCCCCCCACGGCCCCCAAAAAGCCGCGCACCAAGGCTCACTTTTACCCACGGTCAATCTGTCGTGTAGTCGAAGGTCGCGAGAATGCGGCGGAAGCAAAAGCGATGCAATAGCATGTTTCGGGTTAGGGCTTCCAGAGTCCCACACATGAGGCGTTCCAAAAAGGGCCTTGCCTTCGAGGACCGAAGGAGTTGTCATCTCTTCCTCGGCGGAAGGCGGCGGAAGGGCGGCGGAAGCAGAACGAGGTCGCCTCCGCCGGCGGGAGCCAGCGGAAGGGCGGCGCAAGGTGGCAGAAGGTGGCGGAAGAGATGACAACATTTTTGAGTTCAGGGTGTCCGGAATCCGCCACATGAATAGAGGGCGCTGCACGCAGCTGCATCGGGCGGGGCCCTTCGCCAGGTGAAGCCTGGACCTCCAGAGGCCGCTGGAGGCCTCTGTGGACCCCAGTGGGCGTCCAGAAAGTCCCCCAGGCCAGGAGCGGATAGCGAGCCTCGATCTGGCAGATTTGCTTGTTTCCCCTGGGGGTGCTGTTTACTTACTTCCTGCGCCCCTTTGCCCTGAGGGTTTCCAGACGACCATGCGATTAGTTGCGCTCATCCGCTTCAGAAGATGAACATCTTCCGACTCAGTGGTGACATGCTTCACCTGACGAGCATCATGCTGCTGGTTTTCAAACTGCACAGAAGCAAGAGCTGCGTCGGAGTTTCGTGCCGAATGCAGGAGATGTACGCGATGGTCTTCATTTTCCGGTACTTGGATTTGTTTTGGAGCTACATATCGCTTTACAACACAACGATGAAACTGGTTTTCATTACGACGACACTTTACCTAGTCTACCTCATGCGGTACAAGGTGCCGATCTCCCAGACGTACGAGCGGAGCACTGACTCATTTCAGTACGAGCTCTACGTTCTCGGGCCGTGCTTCGTGATTGGCCTGCTTTGCACTGAGGACCGAGGAAAAAACATCACACAGATAACCTTTCGAAGGTCCGCTCCATTTTTTCTGCTTCACAGTCGAGCCTCTGTGTTCACGCAATCCATCTGCAAGATGTCCCTTGCATTGTCACGAAGAGCTGCCAATCGTGCACTCTTCTGCCCACGCGTCCTTCCGGATGCTCGGCTCAGCCAAGCCATGCCATGCTCGGATTTCTTGCATCGGCTCTGGATCTCCTGCCTGGTGACACCTCCGGCGCGGTCCGGGGGGTCCAGCGCCGATCCAAGAAATGCGCGCGGACTGCCGCAAGTTTATGTGTATGTCATCCCTGGAGGTCTGAGCCACTTCCCCAGGGACAGCCGGTTTTTCACAGCCTGGGGCCTGGTACGGGCCCCTAGACCCTAGAGGCCGGAAGCAGCCAGGCAGCCAGATCCTTGGCGTCGCGCTTTCTTGACGACGCGTGGAGGTCTCGGTCCCTCCTCCCCCGTACATCCGCTGGACTTCTCGTTCCTCCCTTGGGAGGAGTACACGATACCAGACATCCTGTGGTCCACGTCCATCTGGCTCGAGAGCGTGTCACTGCTGCCACAGCTGGTCCTCCTCCAGCAGGCGCGCGAGGTCGAGAACCTCACGGCGGACTTTGTGGGGACCCTGGGCGCCTACCGGTTCTTCTACATTCTCAATTGGATATACCGGTATTTCGCAGAGGACCTCGCAGAGGATGAAGAGATACCGATGCCGCTGCCCGCTCCTCGTCGCTACGGCTGGCGGCTGGCTTCGCTTCGGAGTCCTTGTCAGAAGGCGCCCCAAGAAAGGCCCAGGGAGTAGAAGTCGGTGTCCTCTTGCCCCCCCAGGACTACGTCAACGTGGTCGGATGGATCGGGGGGCTCGTTCAGACGGGCCTGTATTGCGATTTCTTTTACTATTATGCGAAGAGCAAGTGGTACGGCAGCAAGCTGGTGCTGCCAGTGAGCGGCGACGCGGCATGACGAGAAAGGGTGCACTGAGGGCTAGGACCGCGCAGTCCCCGTGGGCCTTTTTGCCTCCTCCCTCGTCCCACTCCCTCCTCTTCCTCCCTTCTCCCTCCACTTCCCTCCTCTCACAGCCAAGACGCTGGAACAAGGCCGACTCGATTTTTTCCTAGGTGGGAAGGGGGAGGAGGTACAGTCATCGTGCCAACACAAGGAACATCGAATCAGGAACGAAGGGGCGTTTCTGGCCACGGCGAGCCTCGGCCACGACAAAGCTCTCCGTTCCAGATCTGTCCAGGAGGAGGAGGAGGAGGAGTAGGAGGAGGAGGAGGAGGAGGAGGAGGAGGAGGAGGCACAGCAGCAGCATTAGGGGCAATAGGCACAGGAGCAGCAGCGGAGAGCAGCAGCAGCAGCAGCAGCAGCAGGCGCAGGCGTAGCAGCACGGGGCGCAGCACCAGGTCTTGCGTCCGCCCTGCGGTCGCGGGGCCACCCTCCGGCTGACCAGCCCTCGCGCGCGCGCGGCCCGCGCCCGCGCGGCCATGGCGGCCGCAGGCCCCGGCGCCGCCTCATTCCTCGGCGGCCGCGGCCGCTCTCGGCGGCCCTCGGCGGCCTTCGGCGTGCAGTGTGAGGCGGAGAGAAAGAGAAGGAGAAGGCGGAGGAGGAGGAGGAGGAGGAGGAGGAGGAGGAGGAGGAGGAGGAGGAGGGGGAGCCAGGGACAACCTTAGGGAGGGATAGGGTCATGAGGAGAACGCGTGGACTCCAAATCGCCCACTCATCTCCGAAGGGGGCTGATAGCCCACCCCACCCAGGAATGTGCGGCTTGTTGATGATAACAGCGATGATGTTAATATTGCTGATTATGTTTGTGATGCGGATGGTGATAATGATGATGAAGGTGGTGATGATTATTATGACGGTGATGGTGATGTTGCTGCTGATGCTGCTGATGATGCTGATGATGATGAGTAGAATGGCCATGAGGATTCGGAGTGTTCTGATGGTGGCACTGATAATGACGATGATGATGATGATGATGATGATGATGATGATGATGATGGTGGTGGTGATACTGATTATGATGACGGTGATAGTGATGCTGCTGCTGCTGATGCTCTTGCTGTTGATGCTGATGATGATGAGTAGAATTGCTATGATGATTTGGATTGTTCTGATGGTGCTACTGATAACGATGATGATGATGGTGGTGGTGATGATGATCATGGTGACGAGAAAGATGATGACGAGGATGACGATGAGGATGAGGAGAATGATGATGATGATGCTGGTGGTGATGATGATGCTGCGGCTGAGTATGATGGTGCTTGTGGCGGTGGTGGTGATGCTGCTGATGATGACGACGATGGCGACGACGATGACGGTGATGATGATGACGTCGACGACGACGGAGCGATGATGATGATAATGATGGTGATGATGATGATGCTGCTGATGATGATACTGCTGATGAGATGATGGTGATGGTGATGATGATGACGATCATGATCATGCGGATGGTGATGACTATGAGTATGATGATGATGCTGATGCTGACGCTGATGCTGCTGCTGATGATTATGTTGATGAGAGCGCAGTGGATATGAAACTAGTCCTGAATGAGCGCGATACAAGCTCAATTTCTCTGGGCTCAAACTCACGCGCTTGAGGAGCCTGGGGGTGCCTCCCCCACGGACGACTTGACTCGCCCCGATCTGACTGGGGCGATCACTGGGATGGCTTCCCATAAGACCATGGCCTTCCAGCTCGGTGCGATCAAGGAGAATCGCGGATCCTCAGCCCAGGACATCTGGATCATCAAGTTGAAAGCAGGCAACTAGTGCAAGAGCTACGGCGAGCGCACCTGCGCGGACGACGAGGCGCTGGACCTCATGGAGGCCAGCAACAACCACTCCGAAGCGCCCGCCCGCGCTGAGTTCGTCGAGCTCTGCGTCAACAGCCGCACGGCCATGTCCGGGAAGTGGACCTCCAAGGCCACCGGCAGGTACCTGGGGGGCAGCAATCAGGCCGACGGCATGCTGGTTGACCAGCGTTTCTGCCCGCGCATCGTGGAAAGCGAACTCCGCTACAGCCTGGTCGCGGACAAGCTCGTGGGCTACATCCACAAGAAGCCCAAGGAGGGCGGCACCTCGGCCGCTGGCGGCACAGGCTCCATCTACACCTCCCACGGGCTCGCTGACCCAAGTCTCGCGCACCTCACGGGCGGCTTCCTCAACAAGGGCCTGCCGCTCGTGCTGCCGGTGCTGGGCCAGGCCTCGGAACCGATCCCCCTGCGGGGGACCACCGACCTCATCCTGGCCTCGCCGGAGGTAGCCTCGACGTCGAAGGAGAAGTGGATCGTGGGCGAGTTCAACTGCTCCTGCGTGGGCGTCGACCAGGGCCTGCAGGGCTGCTGCACCGACGACGCGCCGAACGCTTGCTACACCGACATCCCGAAGGAGTTCAAGGGTTCCCTCGCGCAGATCTGCGTCTGCAGCCCGCCCTACGGCGGCTTGGTGGCAAGATCAGCGCGGGCATGAGCTGCCGACTGATCCACTACGTCGACGAAGAGTACGACACATTCTTGAAGGCCTGCTCCAAGTTCGACTTCGTCATCATTCGTTGCAGCCCGGGGCAAATCAACGCCGACGGCGGCAACCTGGACAACGTCGACGAGGGATTGAGCTTCATGCGCCCCTGCGGCGACTTGGACAAGAGCTCCCACGATCGCCGCTACGACTCCGTCCCGCTTGCCAGCGGCATGTCCAGCGCGGACAGCCAGCTGATCCACTACGTGCACGACGAGCACGGCGCATTCTTCAACGTCTGCTCCACGCTCGACTTCATTATCGCGCGTGGCAGCCTGGGGCAGATCAACCCCGACGGCGGCAACTGGGGCCCGATCCACAATGGCCTACACTTCGTGCGCAAGAAGGGGGTTCAGGTCTGGCCGTCCCTGGACGCGATGGAGTTAAAGGGAGCTACTTGCGCTCTAGTCAGGGTGGCCAGCATGAACACCGGCCTGGAGGATGCCTTCCCGTTCTACGACCCCGTGTAATTCTAAGGCCATGGCCCTCAGCCCCGCGTGATACAGCAGAACCACGGCGCCTCTGTAGAGGGCATCGGGATCATCAAGTTGAAGGCAGGCATCTACTGCAAGACCTTCGGCGAGCGCTCCTACACCGACGACGACGAGGTCCCTGGCCTCGTGGGGGCCAGCGACAACCGCTCCGAGGTGCGCGCCGTAGCTGAGTTGATTGGCCTCTGCGTCAACCGCGCGTCCAAGTCCGGCACCCGGTCCTCCGAGGGCATCGGCAAGTACCTGGAGGGAGGCGAGGCGGCGTCGACCGGCCCTTCTGCCCGCGCACAGTGGAGGGCGAGCTGCGTGACAACGTGATCTCTGACGCGCTGGCAGGGCGGCGCCTCGGCTGTCGGCGGCGCGAATTCGATCCACTCGCTCCGCGGTCCCGAGGGGCTCGAATTCCCGAACTTGACTGCCGACATCCTTGGCAAGGACCTGCGGGAAGCGATGCCGGCGCTGGGCCTGGCCGCGGAATTGGCCCCCCTGCGCCGCCGACTTCGCCCTGGCCACTCCCAGGGGGGGGGGCCGGCCTCGGAGCGTCGGCGAGTTCAAGTGCTCTTGCGTGGGCATTTCCGATTGCCTGGCGGCCGATTGGAAGGGCGACGCGCCAGTGGCGCGCTACGCCGACATGGGCGGACCGATGCGGTTCCCCGCTGGGCACGCCTGGGGCCAGCACCGCCCCTCGGCCGGGTGGCATCGGGCATCGCCCGCGCCGCCGAGGACGACCGTCTCGCGCCGCAGCCTGCCGATCCCAAGTTCAAAGGCGCCCCGTGCCAGATCTACGCGCGCAGCGCGCCTTGCGGCAGGTCTGGCACGAGCAGCAGCGGCCGCCTCTGCGACTTCATCCCGTTCGCCTGTGGCGTGGTCACCGCGGGCATGAGCTGCCCGAAGTGTCGCTGCCAGTGCGAGGGGCGCTCCTGCTCTTCCACCAAAACAGCCGGGAACTCCATCGCAAGTTTTGCCGGCTGCAGACTCGGGCGCTCTCTTTGAATTGCGCGGGGCCCTTGACTCCCTCATCGCGCGATGCGACCCGGGCCGGGTCAGGGCCGACGGTGGCGACCGGCGCGCTTGACGACGGCGGGCGCGCAATGCGCAACCTTGGCGCCCAAGTTGGAAACTGGGGCATATGCATGGCCAGTGGCGGGCGGCTTTTCAATCCCAGGACTTTTGAGGGCCAGGGGGGCGTCGGGGTGGCGCGGCGCGCGCTTTCCCCCCATTTTCCCCGGGGAAACACCGAAGCATGTATGCGCCGAGATCCCGCGTGCACCGGGGTCCGCTTGCCTGTGCAAGATTCAGTGCGAGGGCGCCCCCGGACATCGCGGAAGTTGCGGGCGTCGAGGGCGCGCTCTGCAAGGCCGCGCGCGCGAGAGAGTCGGGCCGGCGGGCGCGCTCTCGTTCTGCGACCCAACAGATTTCGCCGCAGGCCTCGAGAATGCGACGGCGTTCCAGCCGCGCGCGATCAAGCAGGGTCGCGGCTCCGCGGGCGAGGGGGTCTGGCTCATCGAGCCACGGGCGGACAACCGCTGCCCCGCGCGCGGCGAGCGCTTCTGCGCGAGCGACGAGGTCTTCAATCTCATCCAGGCCAGCAATAACCACGCGGACGACCGTCGCCGGGCCCATCGAGCTGCGCGCCAGCGGCCGCGCCGCACATCGGGCGCGTGCACTTCGATGGGGGGTCGGCCAGTATCTCGAGGGCGGCGAGGGGGCTGGAGGCAGCCCGGCGGACTGGCGCGCCTGCCCCCGCGCCGTTGAGGGCGACCTCCGCTGCGACGCGGGCGACGGCGCGGTCGTGGGCGTCAATCGCAAGAAGCCCAGGGGGGGCGGCGTCTCCGCGGCCGGCGGCGCTGTTTCGATCTGCAATTCCACGGGCCCGAGGACAGGAAGTTCGTGGGTTTCGCCGTCGTTTCCTTTGGGAAGGATCTGCCCTCCGTCACGTCGGCCCTCGGGCTTGCTGGGGAGCTGGCCCCCTTCCGGTGGGCCGCCGACTTCATCCTGTCGGGCATCGACGAAGGGCGAGGCCCACGCTCGCATCTCGCGAATTCTGTTCGCAAGTGCGACGCGGCGTGCGCGCCGATCCGCATTTGCCCGCGGGGGCGGGGCGCGCGCGCCGGTTATGTCCAAGAGCCGCACCTGGACCGCTGGAGGTGGGGTGCGGGCTGAATTTCCTAGGGCCGCACTGGCCCCGGGCTGTTCTTCCACGAGCCGCATTGGTCCACGGGGGGTAGGTTGCGAGCTCCAGTGCTCTCACTCGCCGGAGGGCGCGCCTTCCTACGAGGAGAAGTGGATCGCGGGCGAGTTCGCTTGCTCGTGCGTGGTCATCTCCGGGGGCCTTGCGGCCAACTGCATGGGCGACGCGCCAAGCCCGTGCTGCTGCGAGATCGCGACCGAGGACATGAAGGACTTGCAGATGTGCTCCACCATGCTGGGCCAGAAGACAGAGGGCACCCCTGGCAAGAGGGCGGCACCGTCCTGCGCATGTACGACGGCCATCGTGACGAGATGCCGCAGTCGGTTCGGGCCTTGAAGTCGCGGCCCAGGATGGCCGTCCAGGGCGAGGGCAAGCCTCTAGGCATGGCCTCGATTGCCTGCATCGCCCTCTGGGTGATCCAGAAGGGCAAGCAGATGGAGGCCATCCTGGCACTGTTGTCTTTGACTGTCGCTCGAGAGAGCAAGGTTAGAGCCTCGCGGGAACGCGAGCCGCATTTTTCGGCGAAGTTGGAGCGAGTCTGGCGTTCGGGGTTAGCGAGAGGCGAGGCGATCAAAACCGGCAGCGAACACGGCGTCACCCTTCGCTTCCAGTTCGCGCGGAGTTTGCGCAGGGCCGCCGTCGGCATCGCCAAGGTCGGGGGCCTCATCTTCCCGCTGTCCGCCGCGTCCTCCAGGACGACCTGGCGGCCCGCTCTGACAGAAGGACTTGGAGTGGGGCGGCCGCCTCGCAGCCATCGGCATTCTGGAGCTGCGGATTGCGTTGGGCCCGGCGAAACCTCCGAGGCGACGAGAAGGCGAGGGCGCTAGGAGTCTTCGGCGGCCGCGCAGCGCTGCGCCAGGCAGTGCGAGCTGGTGCGGCACCAGGCACTGGCGGGCGTCGACATCGCTGAGAAGGACAAGGAGTTCTGGGGCGACCCCGTGCACACCTTGCCCCGGCGCCTCAGCGGCCTGCCTCGAGGCAAGCGCGAGGGCCCCAGGGAAGCAATGCAGCGCAATAGGAGCTCGCCGACAGCTTCGACGGAATCCGCGGCCGCGACGGGCTCGACGCGGTGCCCGAAGAGCCCCGGCAGTCCACGACCGCGCCCCGCGCCAAGCGCCAGAAGCGCAAGCGGAGGGGCTGACGCCAGTCCCGAGACATGCGTTTCTCGCCGGGGCCGGAGAGGCCCTGCCCGAGATGCCGGGGACGGCATCCCGCCGGGCGCGCGGGCTTGCGGCCTTAACCAGACCTTTGGACGGGTGAGCAGGGCAGCGTGAGTGGCCCAACAGAAAGCAGTGACATGTTTAGTTTGAGAGGCTTCGCCTCGCGCCTTGTTGAATCTGTTTAAATCAACGCGACAGCTCGGGGGGGCAAAGTAAGCTGGCCTCCACCCGCTTCGGGCTCAATGAGTATGAGTTTTTGAAACCATCTATCCCGAGTTTGGTTTTCAGAGGATCCAGGCGGCTGCCCCCTAAGGGTCCATCGGGAGTTCTGTCAGCGACGATTCCTGTGCATTTGCAGGGCCGGCATCCCGCCTGTCGCGCAGCATGAGCCGCGAAAAAGAAGAGCAGGGGCATCTTTGGTCTGGGGCTCCGCCTCGGCACGCCTGGCTTGGGATTTGAATCTGTCTAAATCGACGTGACAGCTCGGGGGGGCAGAGAGGGCTGGCCCCCCCCCCCCCCCTTTCGAGCTCAAGGAAGAGCCTCTCCCCGCGGGGCGAGGCCTCCGCCGCAACCGTGGCGCGGCCCACCATTGACGAGACCACTGAAAAGTAGCTGCGCGCCGCGCTCGAGACCATCGAGCAGGCCCCGCGGAGGTCTGGTCCGGACCCTGACGGCTCCCGCTTCAAGCGCTGGAAGACCTTACGGATTCCGCGGTTGACTCAAACTGCCGGGTGGTTGTGGCCTTCCTCCTCGACGCACTCCCCGCCCCGGCGACTTCGCCGCGGCCAACTTGGGGGCCGGGCAAGTGGCGCCGCGGGAGAAGAACGGGAAACTCCGGCTGGTGGCGCGCGGGAGCGTCTCCCGCAGGCTGGCGGAGAAAGTGACTTACGAGGTCATTGAGGAGGAGCTGATGGACGCGAGCGGCCCCCGCCAGCTCGCGGTCGGCGCGAGGGCATGGTGCAAGCGTGTCCACGAAATGATCACCGTTTTGGCCGAAGAGCCGCGGGGGGCCGCCGCGCCGGCGCCTGCGGCACCCCGCCCCGGCAGATCTTGCTGGACGCAGTCGGCCGCTGGGCGACGAGCCGCCTCGCCGCCGCCAGCGCCTGGCTGATGCGGCCGACGACGCGCTTCCTTTGGAGCAACCGCAGCAACCCCGCGTCCGCGTCCGCCCAGAGGCTCCGACCAGGGATGTGGGGTGTCCGCTCAGCCCCGCCACCTTCGCCGCGGGCGTCGCGGGTGCCCCGGCCCGCGTGCGCGGGCGCCTCTAGCAGCTGAGCCCCGCCTCTCGCCTGTTCTCTTGCCCAGACGATGTGCTTGTGGTTGCGCCAGCTGCGTCCGGGGCGCTGGCCCACGTCGCGGCGCGGGGAGATGCGGGCCTGGCCAGCCTGGAGCTTGGCGCGGCACAAACCAAGGCGTGGGCCGCGGGCCAGCCGGGCCACCGAGGTGCCCCCCAGCTCGAGCACCTCTGGACTGCTGCCATGACGTCCTGGGGAATCCGGCCTCATGGCACGGCCGCGACGACGGCGACGATGACGCCGGGCTGACCCGCCTGGCCAACTCCGACGGGCGGGAGGTCCCGGATAAAACGCGGCGTTTCTGGGGCCACTGGAGGGCGCTGCGCCGGGGCTGCTGCGCGCACCTGCCGCGTGCAAACAATTTGCGAAACCGCCTGGGCTGGGGAGCTCGACGACTTGCTCCTCGGGGCGCACGTGGAGCTGACTGGGCCGCTGGGCAACGAGCAGAAAGAGTGGCCCACCCTCCGCCCCAAGGACGGCGGCGACGGCATCCCTTCCGCCAGGGGCATCGCCGCCCGCGCACACCTCGGAAGCTGTGCTTTTTGCCTTGCCGCAGCCCGCCTCGGAGCCGACTCGGCGGTGGCCGTCTGGGCCTGCTGCCCTCTGACCCTCAGACGGCAGACGCGCGGCGCCGAGGGGCGAAGGCCGAACCCATTGACTGGGCGGCCCTCCTGGCCGAACCCGCGGCCAAACAGCCGGGGCATCCTTCGCCAACGGAGCATTGTTTTCCGGGGCTCTCGACGAGGATGGCCAACTCGCACTGTGCGGGGCTGGGGGGCAAGAGCGCGTGCCCAGCTCCCACCCCGCGAGGAGCGCGACGCGCCCTTTTCCAGACGTCCACGTCTTGGCGAGCCGCGCGCGCGCCTCAGCTGCGACGCGCGCGCCCTGGGCGCGCGCTGTCAGCGCGGAAATGCGAGCGCAGGGACAGCAGGGATTATCGACGCAATCTTTGCGCGACTTGAGCCGCCAGCGCCCCGACACCACTGGCGCGCCTGGCGCGCCCCACTCGCGAACCCCGTGCCAACGTCTTCGTCTGCGTGGACTGGTCTGTCACTTGCGAACACAGCGACAACGCAGCTCGCAGGTTGGCCAACGCTCGCATGGATGGGGTGGCGGCTGCTCGCGCAGTCGACAGGGAGCGGGCGCGCTACCCTCCTTCCGGAGGGGAGCTGATCTTGGCCGTCTTGGAGTCAGGGGGCCAGCCAGCCGACGAGCTGGTCGGCTTCGTCCGCTCTCGCGGCCAGGACCAGCCGGAAGCCGAGCGGTCAGGCGTGATTTCTTCCTCCCGGCGGACGGTCCAGCGCTGTTTGGCTCTCTGCAGCGCGAACATGCTGCTCAGCGCGGCGTGAACAGCCGCGCGGGCGCTGGGCCAGCAGCCCCTCAGCCATCACCCGGATCACCACCACGACCACCGCCGCGACCACTGCCAGCTCCGACACGACCGCCCTCACTGCCAGCCCGACGACCGCCCAGCACGCCCATCGCCACAACCAGCGCGACAACCGCAACGCCCACTACCTCCACCACGACCTCAACGACCCCCCGCGACCACCACGACCGACACGACCACTACCACCACTTGCCCGACGACCATTAGCACGGCCACCACCACGACCACAGCGACCACGGCGGCCGTCGCGCCTCCCACCACGGCCACTACCAGCACGCCCGCCCACCACCACGACCACTGCGACGACCACGACCACGCTCGCCGCCTGCTGACTGCCCCCACCTCCAACCCCCACCGCGTTGCCCTCCTTTTTCCCTGCCGCGCCGCCCCTGCCACAGCGCGCGCCTCGCGTTTCGCCCCCTCCTTTCGTCATCCTCCACCGTTTCCTCTTGCTCTTCTGGCGGTGCTGCCCAGGGCTGGCTGGCGTGGATTGGCACCGGCGGGGGTGCTGCCAGCTGCCCTGCCAAGGCTTGGTTGCCCCCTGGGTGTTTGGGGTCTCGCCCCCCCGACAGAGAGAGAGAGGGTGAAACAACCCATTTTTATATATATATATATATATATATATGATATGAGATGATATGATATGATATGGTATGATATGGTATGATATGTGTATATATAGATATATATAGAGATTTTTCCTCCGGCAAAGTCATGCGGTACAGGTTTAAGTGTTTCGTCTGGCAAAACTACAGGGTTAATCCATCCTCTGGTCTGTCCCCGCTGGACTACAAACGCAAGTGTACACAAAGTGTAGACAACTGCTAAGATACATCATGTGGACATGCGCTGTCCAAGGGAAAACTGAAAGTGCGGAGTATGTAACGTCTGACGGTATATCAAATGTTGGCCGTAAGACGGAGCCAGCAACCTAGCAGATCAGGTGTCGTCTCTCTTCTTTGCACATGTGGACCGTAACGCGGGGCCCACTCCCTAGCATAAACGAGGCCTCCGTCGTCGGAGAGGCAGGGCCGAGCTCGCGCGCCCAACCGGTTTGCCACGCACCAACTCGGAAGACGAGGGAGGGCAGGGGCAGCAGGCAGACCTCGAGACGATTGGACAGAAACTGGCCCAGAACGCGTCCTGGGACCCGGTCTCGGAAGATACGAACTCCCAGGAATTCGTATCCGGTACGCCCTCCGGACGCCCACCCGCAAGCTCTTGGCGAGGGGCAGCTCAGAACAGAAATCGCCCTCCCAGGGGCCCGAAGTGTATGTCACGGTATCGGTGCATCAGAGGAACATAAAACCATCTTAGTTCCTCAGCATGAGTATATGCGTACAGCTGGTATCTTGCCTCGGCCCCGGCTCAAATGTAAGTGCCACGATTACGGCCTCCAGCCCACGGACACGTGGCAATTACCAACTAATGCCGGCATCCCGACCATCACCCTATCCAACACTTCATTGCAGACGCCGTCTGCGTCGGTGTTGTGCTCCCGGTAAACATGTTGCACTCTGACCTCGAGGACGCCGTTTCGTGCCCGGAGGGCCGCCAAAATCCCCAGCGCCTCTTCGTACAACACCCGCAACGAGGGCTCCAAGCATCTCCATGCTCCTAGGACTTGCCTTGCAACGAGAAGCGAGTCTATGTAGAAAACAATCCGTGGAGCTGGAAACTCGGACGCGTGCCGGAGACACTCAAGAAGACCTGCATATTCAGCATAATTGTTCGTGACATTTCCGAGGAATCGTCCCAAACACGCCGCTATGCGTCGCACTCCTGGCTCGTAGCGAACGCTCCCAGAGCTGGCTAAAGTTGGAGAGCCAGTGCCCTGATTGCGCGCCGCACCGTCTGAAGCATATGTAACTGCATCGGGTGCGAAGACCGGCGGACGGGATCTCAACTGTCGGCGTTCCTGCCGATCAGAGTTAACAAGGCTCCCTGTGATCCACGGGTCAGCGCACAATCTTTTTATCTTTTTGCGTGTTGGACCAGGTCATCAAAAGAAAAGAACAGCTTTCCTTCGAGCAACAGCCTTCGCAGGCGGGAAACCATGCTGGTGAAAGCGAGAACGCACTGCAAGATGGAGGCACTGGGCAGGTCAACTTGCAGCCATCTCTGTTGCGAAGTAAGGCTGGTATAAGGCTCTGGAAATCGTGCTTGCAATGACGCCAACGCTGGGCAAGAATCGCGGTGGTCCAAAGCATCCCCCTCCTCACAGAAACAGAAAGGACAAGCCATCACTGGACGCCTAAGGACCGGCGCCAGCCGGCGAGACGTGAGCCCTCCGTTGAGCATCCTCCGCATATTAGCTATGCGGTGCTCACTTGGAATGCTCGTCGGCATTTTCCTCAAGTTTCTCTTGACTGCGTCCCAATTCAAACCCCGGGCCTGGAGACGCATGCGTACAAGAAGTTCTGCTCTGTGTGCCTCGGCCGCATGCATATCACGATACAAATACCGGTACGCCTTGGCCTCCCCAGCACGTCTGCTACCACCGCGCCCTCTGGTGCGCAGAGAGTCAGACACCGTGGCGCCCGTTATCGCATGAAAAGCATGGAAAGCGGAAGCAAAGCTTGTGAGTGGCCTCAAAGTTGGCCCTTGCCCGGCACGAAGTGTCCGCGCTCCATGCTGCAATGCTGTGCGCTCCGACTCCTTGACTCCTCTCCAAACGGAGAGACGTGGAGACATGTGCAGCAATATTAGCAAGGAAGGGGTCAGCTGCCTCGACTAACGTTTTGAAGAGTCCACAAGAATGGCAGAAAACTTGGAATGGGCACCAACGCACACGTTCCAAGAATGACAACGCTAACTCGCAGATTTCGGTTTTGGCTGCCAGGCTGAGCAGGTGAAATTCCATTATGTATGACAACAAGGGGAGCGCGAAAACATTCCAAGCCAGCAGTCTCGTTGCCAAGCTGGTGCGTGTATGCCGTAAGAGTGCCAAGCGATGCCTTAGTTTCGCCATGGGCTCCGACAAAAGATCCGCTTCCACAGCATCGGGAACCAACATATCCACAGCTCGAGAGAGAGAGAGAGAGAGAAAACAAAGCAAATAATAAAAATTTAATATACATAGGGACAGAGAGAGAGAGAGAGAGGCAGAGAGAAAGAATGAGAGGGGAGGGAAGGGCGGGGATGAGGTGGCGGTGGCGGAGGAAAAGGGGGTGGGGGGCTGGGGTGATAGTGATGGAGGGAGGAGGGAATGGTTGGACGGACGCAGGGATGGAGCGGCCCGGTGCTCCCGCGGCGCGCCCAGGGCCACCCAGCGGTTCCGCGCCAACCCTGGGCAGAGACGCCCCCTTGCGGCTGCCCATCCCCACGAAGAGCTCTGGCCGGGCGCTCGGATATCCGACGATGTGCATGTTATTTAATTGCTGCGGTTTTTCGCAGTGTCGGCCTCTCCTCCTTCCCCTCGCCCCTCCCTCCTCATTCCTACTTTGTCCCCCCCCTCCTCCCTCTTCCCTCCTCCTCCTCCTCCTCGGCTTTATCCTCCTCCTCCTCCTCCTCCTCCTCCTCCTCCTCCTATCATCCTCCCTCCTGCTCCTCCTTCACATTGACGGCGGGACTAGCAGTCTGGCAAGAACCACTTCGACGTGCGCAGGGAATTCAAGGTCTAATTTCGTTCCCTGGCCGCTCCCTCGGGTACAGCACACGGTCCTCCTGATGCTGATGTTGCCCGTGCTCCTTCGGACATGGCGTCGGCGATCCCTCGATTGAGCCAACATCTTTCAGGCCACGCTTGCCGATGCTTATGATCATCATGCGTACCTCCAGGCTCATATTCCTCGCTATTCGCGCCCTGACCTGGTGCTGCCTTCCAGGGAGGACATTTGATGCGGTGCCAGCGTTTGGCAAGGGCAAGGAGGAGGAGGAGGAGGAGGAGGAGGAGGAGGAGGAGGAGGAGGAGGAGGAGGAGGAGAAGGAGGAGGAGGAAGGGAGGGAGGGAGGGAGGGAGGGAGGGAGGGAGGGAGGGAGGAGGCAGGAGGAGGCGACACGTAGGGGGGAGGAGGGGAACAGGAGGTGGAGGAGAAGGGGGACGATGACGACGAGGCAGGACGACCAGTACGACCAGGCCCCCGGGCGGCTCCGAGGCAAGACCGCGCCCCCAGTTCTCGGGATGATTCCCGAGGAGCAGACCCGGACGGTGCGGCTTGCCCGCCGCCGCCGACGGGGGAGGTTCGCCGGTGGCCAACGACGACCACGCTTGTTGAGGGTCGCCGAGGATGGAGGATCGACCCAGCCAATCGAGGATCGTCGAGGATCGAGGATCGATCCAGCTGGCCGAGGATCGCCGAGGATCGATGGTCGACCCAGCCAATCGAGGATCGCCGAGGATCGAGGGTCGACCCAGCTGGTCGAGGATCGCCGAGGATCGAGGATCGATCCAGCTGGCCGAGGATCGCCGAGGATTGGGGATAGCCGAGGATCGGGGATAGCCGAGGATCGGCGATCGTTGAGGATCGAGGATCGACCCAGCCGGTCGAGGATCGCAGAGGATCGAGGGTCGCCGAGGATCGACCCCCCAGACGGTCGAGGTTCGGGGATCGAGGTCTTCGGGCGTCCTCGTCGGTTCCCGGAGGCTTTCCAGCCTCGGGATGCTTTCCAGCAGCTGCGCCTCTGCGCCTCGTCAAGGCGTTCCAGTTTCTGGCCCGAAAACCGCCTCCGCATGAGTCATCCGCCGGTGCTTCTCTCTCCTCCCCTTCGGCCTCTGGGGGCCGTTTGCGGGCCCCGCCTGCAGCTGACGCGCTGCTCCCGGCGCAACCGCGCCCGCCGCACGCGCCGCCGCCACCGCCGGCAGCTGCCGCGCTGGTCTCGGCGCGCCCGCGCCCTCTGCACCCGCCACCGCCCAGTCGGCGCCTCCTTGGCCGACCACGTCAGCGTTTTTTATTCCTTCTTTTGCCGATCGGCGCGGGCCCTCGCCTGGCCGTTTCTGGCGCCTGTCTCGAGCAGGTGGAGACTCACCCACAGGACGCAGGGTCCCAAGCAGTCGCACCAAGCAGAGGCCCGGAGCCAGACTCCCCCCCCCCCCCTTCCGCCCCATGTCGAAGCGCCGAATATAAAAAAGCGTTCACCAGGCCCCGACGCCCGTCCTGATGGGAAGGATTGATTCGATGGGGTCAATGATCAGGAGGGGAAAAAACACACAGACACAATTAATCGTCCACTCCCAGGAAAATATAGGAAAATATGGGAAGTGGGAGGGAAGACAAAAACCCAGAAAATATAGGAAAATATGGGGGATGTTTTTATCTGTGTGTATCTATTTGTGTGCCCTGGGGCCCCTTCAAAGGATTCGACTTCTGGATTCTGAAGCAGTCGCGTGCTACGACATCCGAGCTTCGGTGCTCCAGCGCCGCCGCCGAGCTCTTCGCGGGCCGCCCCCTCCTCCTCCTCCTCCTCCTCCTCCTCCTCCTCCCTCCTCCTCCTCCTCCTCCTCCTCCTCCTCCTCCTCCTCCTCCTCCTCCTCCCCTCCGAGGGCAACCATCGGCGCCCTGCCTTGCCTTACGTCGGGCGTGTCCCTCTACAGGGGGGATATTCAAGAATAGTCAAAAAATAGTCTGGGGGCGATGTTTTGATCACTTCTGAGTATTTTAGATCATTTTCGGGTATGTTTTATTTTTCGTCCAAAATCCGCCTGTAGGGGGACATGCCCGACTTAAGCCTTGCCTTGCCCCGACGACCATCCCCGATGACGAGGATTTCGTGAGGGCTGCAGCCGTGGCGGTGAGGGCCTCCAGGAGGCGCGCATGGGCGAAAAAGCGGCGGCATCGATGCGTCGACGTGGCTTCCTCTTCTGAGTCGGAGCTTGATAGACCTCGTACCCTGACGCGTCGATTAGTGAATTGGACGTTTTCGGTTCGCGAGAGGGCGTCGCAGCCGTTGTTTTTGCGGGTCCAGGTCCGTCGGTTTTGGTCCTAGGCCGTTTTTACTAAAGGGTGGTTTACTAAAGGGAGGCTTGTCCACCGCCGACTGAGGCGCGCGGCTCTGTGTTCCAGGGTGTCTTCGCTTCGGTCGCGTCGGCTGCGTCGCAGTCGGGCTCGTGCGGTCGGTTCGGCTCGGTCGGTCGTTGCGTCGTTGCCGCATCGCCACGGCCGTCCAGGCTGCCTGTGGCAGGCTCGGTTCCGGCTGGTTTCGGTCTCGTGGTTGGCTCGGGCAGCTTTTTTGGCTGCGCCGTCGCCGCGCACGGCCTCGTCCCCCGACGACGTCGCATGTTGACGAGGACGGGCACCGGACGACCCAGACGGCGGCGGTGGCGACGACGACGACGACGACGACGACGACAGCCTCGTCGAGCGGCGACGACGGCGACCACCCCACTTTCTCTCTCTCTCTCTCTTTATTACTGTTTCTTTTTTTTGTTCTCTCTCTCTCTCTCTCAAGGCGGTGTCACCTTTGCTCTCACGTTTGCTCTCACCGTACACCCTACACCCTTTCAGATTGTCTTCGATTTTCTCTCGAACGCTCCATGCCAGTGAACACTCGCCAGCCGGGCACTCCAGTGCGTGGAGTACTTGGCAGCTTATCCTCTGAGGCAGCGGTGGTCGAAGTTGTGCCCCTTGCCACCCCCGCCGACAAGAGGGCCCGCCTGAGGAGCCCCCTGCACGAGATGGACGATGGCTTTCTCTCGGACGACGAGGAGAAGGATAAACAGCTCGGGAACCCCTTTCGGCAGCCGGACTTCTCGAATGCCGGCGCCGCTACAGGAGCTGCTCTACCGAGTGGCACGGAGGGGGGTCCGTTGACGGAGCCGGTCACGATGTCGGGCATCGCGGCTCTCTTGAAGCAACAGTTGACCCCCGTAACGTCAGTGGTGGAGCGCTTGCGGGAGGATTTCGGGAAGCTGAAGCTCGAATTCACCACTCTCGGCGAGACGATGTGCAACCGGCTTGCGGACGTCGAGGCGAGCATCATCAGTACCGAGGCCCGCGTGGACAAGCTGGAGAACCTATACGAGGAGCTGGTGAAGAAGGCGCCCCTTCCAACCGACGACGTCGGGACCATGGTGCGCAACTACATCAAGGAGTACATGAAGCAAGAGGGCGAGCACACGATCATGAAGAAGGGCGTGAATCAGGACCCGACCATAGGCAAGAGGACGGTGACGGCTGTGATCGGTAATCTGGAGGGCCTCTCCGACCTCTCCCAGGCGACGGCATGGTTGCAGGAGCGATTGACGTCTTTGGGAGCTCCTCCCCCAGTGAAGGTATATTCGAAGGGAGGTTACTGAGGCATCATCTTCGCCGAGTTCGGGACGACGCTGGAGCGTGACAGCGCGGTCGAGTTCCTGCGGGGCGCTGGCCTTCGGAGCGGGGGGAAGCAGATCTGGGCGAACCAGGACCGGTCCCCCATCGAGCGCGCCGCCCGAAAATTTTGTTTCGGCCTGAAGTACATTCTCAAGAACACCTGGGAGGTGCCACGATCGCGGTCTCCGACGAGGCTCCCTGCACCGCCACAGTTGGCGGGGAGCACGCTTTGACGGCGGTCGTGGTGCAGAACGGGTCGAATACGTCTGGCAAGGGGAGTGGGAGTCATGGGCGGAGCTGCATGGGCATCCACTCGTCAAAGAGCTCCGGAAGAAGTCCGACGATCTGGTGCCCCGCGCGGCGAAGGGCACGAAAGGCGCCAAGGGCACCGCGAAGGGCGACTACAAGGGGAAGCAGACCGGCGCCACTGGGCGCCCAGGGGAATAGGAAATGGCCCCCTCAAATGTTTCACCGGCACTGGCAGTCAGCAGCGCTGCCAATATGAGCCGATATGATTTGCGAATTCACGACAGCATGAATGTACGTACTGACAGAGGACGCGGTTGGCCGCGACAGCAGCTACACAGAAGATTTCGATTACCGTGGTGGGCCGTTACGCCCCTGCAGGAAAGACGTCGTATTTTCGGGGGAGCTTAAGACCCGGGTTTGCCAGGGCTCGGGTTCGCCATCGTTTTTTGACGACCGCGCATCGGATTTTGACGAGGAGGAGTTTCGTGGGATGTCTGCAGCGGGAGGCCTCGTCAAAATGCAGGCTCGGCCTCGTCATTTTTTTGACGACCTCGTCGGGGATTTCCGAGTCCCCTGTACCCAGGTCTTACGTCCCCCTGATATTTGGAGCATGGAACGTGGAAGAGCTGACAGAGTCCAAGATCGCAGAACTCCAAGAGCACATGCGGACCTTCAACATAGATACTCTCGCAATCCAAGAGACTCACAAGCCAGAGTCAACGTATGAGGTCACTGGCTCTGGGTATCTTCTGATTCTCTCTGGAGGCGCGGGCGACCAGGAGACAGCGGGGGTTGGATTTCTCATATCTCCAAGGATACGTACAAGCATCATCGGATTCAGAATGGCGTCTCGAGGGCGCTTGTGGTGAAGCTGCGCGTTAGCGGGGGCAAGGTGCCGATCTTCAGCATATGCGCCCCACGCAACGGCAAACCACACGAGGTCAGAAGAGAATGTTGCCAATCTCTGGGCACCCTTTTCCGAGCCATCTCCGGGCATGGAGGGCCAATTCTTCTCGGAGATTTCAATGCGAGGCTGCACAGGCAATTCCCATGCGACGCACCGCATATTGGGCCGTGTGTCTTCGGCTGCCCGTCGGCGCAGCAGGACCCAAAGTCTAATCGCAGTTTGCTGCTGGAGTTGCGTGTGACACACGGACTACTAGTCAGCAGTGCGTTCTTCGACCGCCCACCGGAGGCGCAAATAACGCGCTACAACATCGGTTCCAAGCCTTCTGATCCAGCTCGCCCAGAACATTGTGGCCAAATCGATTTTCTACTTTGCCCTGGGGGCCGGCAGTCGTTTGTCAACGATGTTCGCAGTCATAAGGACGCGGCCCTTGCGTCTCGCCATTTCCTGCCCCTCTGCTGCGCGCGCCTGGGAGTCGAGAAAACCACTCGTGAGCGAAACGAGAAGCCGGACTTGCAGGCGCTGTCCTGCGGCAGTGTGGCTGACGATTTCAACGCCGCGTTCTCTGACAAAATGGCAGATTTCGATTCTGACCGGTGTACTTTGGATGAGTTGAACACAACGATGGTGGTGGCCTTCAAACATGCTGCTGGCGAGCGCCTGCCTGCAGTTCTGGCAATTCGCCGTCGACTATGGATCAGCAATGCGACTTTGGAGCTGATCACGCGCAGAGGGGAGGCAAGGAGAAACGGCGACTTTGACAGAGAAAGGCGATTTCACGGCATGATCAAAGCGTCGGTCAAAGCAGACAGGGAGAAGTGGCTTGGCGATCTCCTCGCATCCGGGGATTGGGCCGAGATCCGGAAACTGCGGAAAGGTTCGGTGGCGCGGCAGGGCCGCATGAAGGACTCGAGCGGAAGATTGGTTGACAGCGATCAAAGGGCAGACACGTTCGCTGATTACTTCTCCAGAGTTGAATGGGCTGTTCGACCCGTGACAGATGTCGAACGCGCTTCCCTTATAGGAGCAGTTCTCCCAGTCCAAGAAGGCCACATTTCCCCGGAAGAGGTTCGAAATGCTGCGCGGCAGCTGAGAAGGAGCAGTTCTTCTGGAGGCGACGGCATTCCAGGGGAGTTCTGGAAGGCTATCTGCACGCCAGGTACCTCGGCTCTCGAGTGGGCTACACTGATTTGCAACAAGTGCTGGACCGATAAGGCCGCGCCGGATGCGCGGCACGAAGCAGTCGTCATCGCGCTGTTCAAGAAAGGCGACTCGGCCGAGTGTGCCAATTACCGGCCAATATCATTGCTTCCGATTGGGCACAAATTGTTCGCCATGGTTCTCCTCGGCCGCTTGAAGGACGCAGGTGCCGAAGACAGAATTTGGGACACGCAGTTCGGATTCCGATCAAAACGCGGCACCGCGGACGCACTGTTCGTTGCTCGCAGATTGATTGAAGACACCCGGAGCTCTCTCTCTGGCAAGCTGGTCCTGCTGGCGCTGGACTGGGCCAAGGCGTTTGACAGCGTCTCGCCGACCGCCCTGGTGCAGGCGCTCGTCCGCTTCGGCGCCCCCGGGCACTTCGCAGAGGCATTTCGGGCCATCTACACGGACAGATCTTTTCGAGTGAGTGGGGGCGGGCCAGACGTCCGGGCCATGGCCACAAGCCTTCGGCGTCTGCCAAGGCTGCCCGCTATCGCCGTTCCTGTTCTCAATCGTCATGACGGTCCTCATGCACGATGCGAGCCGGGCTTTCCAAGCACACGGCATGGCGCAAGACGCCCGGATACCCGTTAATGAACTCATCTACGCCGACGACACCCTTGTCGTTGGAGCCAGTGATGATTATGTTTCCAGGCTGATGTGGGCGATCCACTGCGCGGGGTCCAACTACGGGCTTGCCTTCAACTGGAGCAAGCTGGAAGCTTTGCCTGCCTGCCTGTCTGTTGCGAGACTGCCTTGACGAAGCCAGACGGCGCCCCCATCCCGAGCAAGGACAGCATGGTCTACTTAGGAGAACTCTTGAGCTCCACAGGTCGGAGCGGGCCTGAACTCAGCCGCCGGCTAGGCATGGCCAGCGCCGATTTTGAGACGCTGTGCAAATTGTGGAAGCACGCGCGATTGTCCCTCGACAAAAAACTAACAGTCTTTGACGCGTGTGTAGTATCCAAGTTGCTATATTGTTTACACACTGTTTGGTTTAACAAAGCAGAGCGCGGCAGGATGGACGCTTTTCAGGTGCGTTGCCTGCGCCGGATTTCGGGCATCAAGCACTCGTACATAAGCCGCATTAGCAACGAAACTGTTATACAGCGATGTGGCGTTCAGAAGCTGAGCGACGTACTGGCGCGCAGGCAGTTGAAACTCCTGGGGCGACTTGGCCTGATGCCAGGGAACAGTCCCGTGCGCAGGTGCATTTTCCAACCCGGCACTTTCGAGCTCGTGCAGGCTGGGGCTCGCCGCAGGGGGCGGCCCCGCAACACGTGGAAGTTTCAAGGGTACGACCTTGCTTGCCGGACGGCAAGCGGCGAGGAAGCGTTGCCCGCCTTGTGGCATCAAGGGCAGACTGTTTGATTGTTTTTGGTGTGCGAGTTTTATGATGCTGATTTTTATGATTGATTTTAGGGAGGAATTGCGAAAACTCGGCCTCCGCCGCCTGCCCTCCAGGTGGTGTCGTCGCTCCCTCTTCCGCCGTCCTGCGTCGCTCCTCTGCCCGCTCTCCCTCCTGCTCGTCCCTCGGGCTGTCGCCCGGGCTTCGTCCTCCTCCCCCCCCCCCTGTCGTCTTCTGTCGCTTGCCCTCCTCCTCCCCCCGGCTCCGGGTTCGCCCTGGACCCCGGGTGTCGTTCCCTCCTCTGCCCCCCTGCTGCGGTTTCTCTCCCGGGTCGTCCACCTTGCGGGGGGCAATTTTGGCGAGCCGGGTATGCATGACGAGATTGGCAAGCCTTCCCTGTGCATGGAGCCAGCGACGCCGGAGGCTTCGCATCGCATTTCGCTGTGGTTTCACACCCCTTTTTGCCAATGCACCTCTGACGTGCACGGCTTCTCTCTCTCTCTCTCTTTCTCTCTCCCTGTATCCCCATCGCTCTAGAGGCCCACCCCAGGCTGCGACCCATGGGCGCGCCCCAGGAGCTTTTGCAAAGCCCAGAGACATCCAGAAACCTCCTCGAGCTTCGAGCGGCGACGCACTGACGGCGGCGGCGGCGATGACGACGGCACCGACGGCGGCGGCGACGACTTCGCCGCCGCCGCCGCCGCCGCCTCCAGGGATCTTTGCCGGAGGCCCGAGAGGCGCCGAATCTTGATCCTCGGCCCCCGATCCCCGATCCCCGCGATCCTCGTGCCCTCGAGCCTCGAGCCTCCGCCCCGCGAGCCCTCGAGCCTCGAGCCCTCGGCCCTCCGGTCTGCCCCCGAGCGCTCGAACCTCCAGCCCTCGATTCCGCTCGCTCCACCCTCGAGCCCTCGAGCCTTCGAAGTCCCCTCTGTTCCCCGCGGCGCGCCTCGACCCCCGCAGGCGGCGGCGGCGTCGGGCAGACTGACCTGCCCTTCAGTCGGGCGTGCCCCTCTGCAGGGAGAATCTTCAAAAACAGTCGAACAATCGTCTGGGGGCGATTTTTCTGGTATTTTTCAAAACTTGTTGCATCTGCCTGTAGGGGGACGTGCCCGACCTAAACCTACCCTCGCCCGAGCCCGCTCCGAAGGCCTCCGCCCCCACCCGACGACCACGCCTCCCACGAAGAGGGTGACGACGCCTCCTCACCCTCGAGCTTCCTCGCCCTCGAGTCCTCCAGGACGCGTACGACGACGACGACAACGACGACGACGAGGACGAGGACGAGGACGACGAACGACGAGGACGACGAGGACGACGACGAGGACGACGACGAGGACGACGACGACGAAGACGACGACGACGACGACGACGACGACGACGACGACGACGACGACGACGACTCCGACGACGACTCCGACGGACGAGGACGAGGACGAGGACGACGACGACGACGACCACGAGGAGCGAGGAGGAAGACGACGACCGCGCCTCCTCGAGCCCCCTGGCGAAAGAAAGCAACCGAAACACGATCTACGCGCAGGTCTCCCAGGCCGAGCTCCACGACCTCATCGTGGAGGACCACCTGGAGGCCCCCCCCGAGGCGCGCACCGCCCCCTCGCGCGGCCATGCCCGCCCGCGCCGCGGTGCCCCCGGCGGGCCCACGTCGCCGCCGCCGCGACCACGACGACGATGACGACCACAACGGCAAGGACGACGACGGCGGCGGCGAGGACGACAACAACGACGACGGCGGCAACGACCACGACGGCGGTTGCGGCGGTGGCGGTCGAAAATCGAGGTCCGAGGGCCGAGGTTCTTGGGCGCTCTCAGCCCCTCTTCGGGCCTCCGGGCGCCAGGCCTCCAGGGGGCCTCCGGGGGTTATCGCTGGCGGCGTCGGCGTCGTCGTCGTCGACCGAGGTTCGAGGCTTCAGAATCATTGAGTCCTTGTTGAAACGATTTTTTTGGCCAAAAGCGAATGCTGTCAGGGGGCCCAAGTTTGTCTTGGCAATGGGATCTTAGCACACAGGAAGCGCGAAGCATGCGTCGCCAGGTGCAGGTGCCGCGCCGTGCTCGTGTGTGGTATCGTGCCGTGCCGTGTTGTCCCCGCGTGCCGGGCCGTGCCGTGCTGTCCCCGCGTGCCGGGCCGGGCCGGGCCGTTCCGTGCCTAGGTTTTGTTTGGAACGCAAGCGATCACGAAGCCGAGTTTTTGCTGTGCAGAATGCAGAAGAGTTGCCGCCCGCGTGCCGCGCAGTGCCGTGCCTTGCGGTGCCCGCGTGCCGTGCCGCGCATAGGTCTTGCATGCCTGGGCTCCGCCCGCGTGCCGTGCCGTGCCGCGCCGTGCCGTGCCGTGGTGCTGCAGTGCGAAGAACATGCCGTGCCGCACGGTGCCGTGCGAGCCGCCGCGTGCCGTGCCGTGCCCGCGCCCGCGTGCCGTGCGGTGCCGTGTCGTGCCCGCGTGCCGTGCCAATGTGCCGTGCCGTGCCCGCGTGTCAGGACACGAGGGCATGCTGCCCGCATGCCGTGCCGTGCCGTGCCGTGCTCTCTCCCTCCCTGCCTCCTTCCCACCCACCCTCCTCATCCTCCTCCTCTCCTCCTCCTCCTCCTCCTCCTCCTCCTCCTCCTCCGCCTCCGCCTCCTCCTCTTCCTCCGCCTCCGAGGCCGCTGGGTCGAGGTTCGGATTTTGAACGACCGAACTTCACGCATAAACGTACACCAGCGACTTCGCCCCCCACCCGTAGGTCCGCGGAACATTGGGCCTGGGGGGCTTCCACGCTTCTCGCTCTTTTTTTGCATCACTATCCAATTTGGTACTACAGCCCAACGGAAGCGTCCAGCCTGGAAAGACTAGAAGACATCAGCTGCGAACTACGGAGCTGGGACCTAATATTGCTCAGCGGAACGTGTGGATGGGTGGGTACAGAAACTTCACAACGCAACATCCTGTCTCACCACGATGTCATCCAGTTCGGAGCCAAGAAAGGAAAAGTGGACCAACAAAAAATGCGGGGTCGCCATCTGCATCAGCAAAGGCTTAGGACCCTACGTCGTGATGGGACCTTTACCGCCCACCGACAACTTTGCAGGGGAGAGTCGCGGGGGTGAGATTCACCACAGCAAAGTTCGATTACGTCCTATTGGTTGCCTACTACACCCCTACCCACTTGCAGTATTATCCCAAGTTGGCGGACGCCATCGGCCACTGGCTGGAGGAACGGATCGACAGATCAGGATGCCGTCCGACGATAACAGCGGGGGGTGACGTGAAAAGCGACTTCGGGCGCCAAGGAGACCTCGACGGGGGAGTGGTACGCAGGAAGGGCTCGACAGTAGGCCCACAGGTGCCCAAGCTCGAGAACTACAACGGACAAAGCTTTCGGACGATGTGTGCATGGGGCGACTTGAGCATAGTCACCACACGTTATACTATTGGTCCTATATGCTATGGGCACTCTGGGCACACGAGCAGGGTATATCACATTGTTTTACCCACGGGGCTTCTGGGAAACGTGGAACACTGCGCGCAACTACGCGGAGCAGGAAAGCGTCTGCAAGAACAGATAAGACCAGAGGGCACCGTGACCACGTCCCACTAGGCCTTGCCATCTCCCCCCACCCCCCTCGCCCCCCAGCTCCGACCGCGCCCCGACAACAGGGGCCGTGCAGGGACTGTCTCATGGAGCGCGTGCGGCGGGGGCACAAGAGGGCGGAGCTGTTCGACGCCATCGGCGCGGAGATCAGCCAGGCGTGGGAGGCCGCGTGGGAGGGAGCGCAAGCACAAAGCACGCCAGACAGCAACTGGGACTTATTTGGTGGGGCAACACGACGAGCCACGCAGCGAACTTTCGGAGCACAACCACAAGATGAGGTCGACCAAATAGTCAAAACAGCACGTACAGACCGGATTGAACTACTACGACGGAGGCGTATGATGCGAGAGAGGCTGCGTGACGAATGTGACGACAGGGAATGCGATCTTGTGCAGACTGAACTGAGAGAAGTGACGGCAACTGAACTGAGAGAAGTGACGGAGAAGCAAAGATAGTATGACGAATACGGTTGGCCTATGAGCGCCGAAATTTTGCCGAGATGCATCGCCTACGAATACAGTGCCAGAGGAACGGCCGAGGCCCGAAGAAGAGGTACTATCTCACCCCCAAGACAAGTTGGCCCACAGCGTACTGGGAGCAGGAACTGAGCCGTCCAGCACTGGAGGGAGGACTGGGCGCAGTACCTCTGGATCGTGCGAGCACGCACAGGGAGCGTGCAGAGTACGTCGAGGAATGCATATCCCCCCTCCCATGCGACCACGACCTCAGAGGGATGGCGGGCAGCGACGCGCGGCAGCCATGCCGCGCTACTGCAAGAAAGCGTGCAAGCGACGGGCGTGGCGGGCGTTTTAGAGCAGGCCTGCTACTTTCTGACGTGCTGCTCCTCGTCGAGGTGCCGGTGGCCGACATGCTGCTGGGCGACGTGGTGCTCGGGGCAGTGTTGACCCCACCGATGCACGTCAGTGGAGAGCTGGCGCTCTCCGACGTGCTGCTCAGCGACGCGCTGCTGGTCCTAGTCGTATACTTTGGCGAGGCTGTGCTCCAGGTGGTGCTCGTCCCGCTGGTTGCTCTCCGACGTGCTGCTGCGCGTCGGGATGCCAGTGCCCGTCTTGGTGGTCAACGACGTGGCACTCGGGGCCGTGCTCGTCCCTTTCGTGGGCGTCAGGGTCGAGATGCCGCTCTCAGGCGTGCTGCTCAACGACGTGCTGTTGGCACTCGTGGACGCCATTGTCGGGTTGCTGCCCCCGTCCGTGCTGCTCAACGACGTGCTGATCAAAAATGCGTTGTGCTGCTCGACGAGACGCTGCTCGTGCTTGTTGCTCGTTGCGCTGCTCGTCCCGGTCGCGGGCGCGAGCCTTGGAGGGCTGGCCGCGACCATGAGGGCTAGGAGGGAACGGCGCCTGCTCGCCCTAAGCGGGCTTGTGTACTCACGCACTGGAGTGGTGCTCCGAGGAGGACGAGGAGGAGGATGAGGAGGAGGAGGAGGAGGAGGAGGTGTTAACATGTGAGCATTCAGGTGACTGGGGAGTGAAGGTGTCCCCGTTACCGTTTGGCTCAAGTATTCAACGGCTGAAGCTACCGAGACTTGCTTCGCCGTGCTGAGGTAAAAAGGTGACCGATCGTCATCGCTGTCACCGAGCTCCCGTGCAGAACCCTCCTCGGGGTTCTGCATGGTAGCGGAGCGCGGTTGCCATGGCGGCGGCGGCGGCCGCTGCAGCTGGGCCCGCGCAGGGCGACCCGCCGGTCAACCTTAACGTGCCGACGGACAGAGATGCACGGGTCAACATGGACCCTAACCGCTTCAACGACCTGTGCGAGCAGGCGTACCTGAACGGGGACTTCAGTTACGTTTAGACGGCGTTACTTGCAAATCATTATGGACTTGCGACGTTCATTAACGAGCGAGTAACACAGGACCGAAGGGAAGTATTGAACGCCGAGGCATTTCAAATGTTACAGAGTGCTCAGAAGACCAACAGCATGTTGTTAGCGATAACGAAGAGAAACGCTGCGCTTGAAAGGGATGCTCGCAGATTGGTAGAAAGAGTTACCGAGTTGGAGACCAACAGCGAAGCACAAGAGAAGTTAATTGAAAAGTTTGGTCAGCTTTCGGAAGCAATCAAAGGCGGAAGCGGAAGTAAGCACGGGAGCGGTAAACCGATAAGCGAGTACAAAGCATTACAGGCGTTAAAGGACTTCAGTGGAGAAAGAGCAAAGTTCAGAGACTGGAACGACAAGTTCTTAAACGTGCTTGCCCAAGTAAAACCGAGTTACCGACCGGCACTGAAAATGTTGAACAAGAAGTTGGAGACACTTGACGGAGTTGTCCCAGAGGAAGATGATGATGAAATCATACGCATAATGAATGGTCGGTTAACAGCAAGCGAATACTTAAAGGCAAACCAAGCTAAACAAGCAGAGGACGACAACACAGGAGATCATGAGTTTACCGAGGGAGACAAAACTCACATGGAGGAAGACTTATGGTACATCCTTAACGAAAAGCTTGAAGGTGCAGAAGCAAGGGGAAAATTAAAGGGACTCATGGATGGTGACGGAATTATGGCTTGGCAAAAGGTTTACAAATGGCACTCGGCTGTTACCGGAGCGACCCTTTCCTCAAAGATGACGCACGCTATGAACCCTGAGCCGCCCAAGAAAATTACCGACACCGTTGCCCGACTTGAGGAGTGGAGCGCGTTAGCGGAGAATCTTGAAAAGCATGGCAAAGATTACTCACTGCCCCTCCCCTTTTAAGGTTACCGCGCTCAGGGCAATAATGGTGCACGCGAATGATTGGTTTGACGAGTGGCAGCAGGCGTGCTGGCGAACGCCTGACGCACTTAACATTGATTCGTTCCAAAAGTTATACTCCAAGTGTGAAGATTGGGCGCGTAAAAAGAAACTTGACTCAGACACCAAAAATAAAGATGCGGTGGACATTGGAAATATTAACGAGACGAGTCAAGGGTCCGAAAATGTCTGGGATCAGACAGGATGGGTTGACGAAGATGGAAACTGGTGGCCAGAGGACGGATCTTGGAGTTACGGG